ACTTGGGGTGCCATAGCCCAGAGATGTGGCCTGGGGACAAAATCTAGACTGCTAGAGAAGTTGCGCCCTGAGAACCACTGCTGCTATTCTTTTCCCTGCAGACTCCTGCAAGCTGATAGGCCCACTGGCCTATTCTCCTCCCTAGTTGGGTCCTTGGATGAAAGGAAGGTGAAATACAAGCTCATCCCAGGTTCTCCACTCATCAGACTTTTAAAACTTTTAGACAACTGGAACAAGCCCCAATTCCAAAAGCCTATACTGAATGCTGGAAAATGCGGGGGTGGGGGCTGTTAGGATAATAATAGGAAACAGGTGAGACAGAAGAAAAACAAAATGTAAAGGTGAATAGTTTGTAGTCCCTGTGCTCAAGAAGCTTATAATCTGGGGGTAGTCAGACACGTACTCAAATCTGTCTGATATAAGATTAATTGGTAACCCCAGGGAGGAGAGAAAATAATAAAGAATAAAAGTGAAGGATTTGAAGTTGAAGGATCCAGGCAAGCAAAGTGAAAAGGAAACACATTGAACTGAGTCTCTTAACAATCTGAGAATGATTGACAAATAAGAGAGGAAGGCATTTGGATGGAGGGAAAAGTGTGCCATGGAGGCACACCCTGAGGGACCTGGGGTAGCCCACAGGGGCTTGGATACTTGTAACCTCATGTACCCATTTCTCTCCTCACAGGCTACCCAGATCCTGCTTGCTCTAATCATTGTGGGCCTTGGAACTATGTTTGTACTTAATTACATCCGTTTCTCCCAAAGATTTCCCCTTGTTGTCCTCACGGGATATCCATTTTGGGGAGCACTTATTGTGAGTACTTTAGAAGCTTTGGAGAAATTGCTGTAAAGATAGATTTGAACTGCTTCACGTGCTAGGGTAATGAATTCCATAGATACGGCCCTCCAGGAGACCAAAAAAGGCAGTTCCCTTCATGGCAAAAGCAGCAACTCCATTTGGTCATTGCACTACCATCATCATTGTAATAACTACTCTCAGCTGCTTGAAAGTTTCCAAAGCCCTTGTGTGTATAGTAAGACATTTGGTCCTCACTACTAACCCGGGAGATTAGATGCACAAATATCCTACTTTCTCCTTTGCAAATAAGGAAACTGAGCCCAAAAGTAGAGAATAACCAAACATATCTAGCTAGCACTCATGAAATCACAGACTCTGAAAGCTTTAAAAGAATTTTAAGATTATCATCGCTCATCCTCCTTCTTAGCCCCAGAGACAATTTTATGAGTGGCACTCCTCTAGATAATCATATAGCCATAAATATTATTCTTAGTACAATGCTATTTCTATCCATTCTCCACAGCCTGGATTCCTAATTTTGTGCCATAATAGTTAAGGACAGACTCATTATAGCTTCTCCTGCTGTAACATACACTCCTGAGAAGACAGCAATATTACCATCTGTTTTAGTTGTTATATTCTGAGAATCTAGAATCATGCTTGAGGCATAGTGTGCATGAACGAATGAATGAGTCAATCAATCAATCAATGAACAAATAGGTAAAATAATGAATAAATTAGGCCACTATCTCTAACTATTAAAAATCCATAGTCTCTTTTGATAAACAGAAATATTCCATGCCTTTTCTATAATGTGCATTTCAGAAACAACCAGCAGTGTTTTCATTTTCCCAATATACATAATGTAATATTCAACATGATTTTCAAACTTTACATGCCATACTGTAGAAAATCAAACAGACCAACCCCTCACTTTCTCATTTCACAACAGAATTGTCCCAGTGTGACTCTGTGTAATCTGCATGTGTGAGTTAAAATGAGGTTCTGGCCTGCTGCTTTTGAAAACTCTACTTTTCACTTAAAGGATATTTACTGAGCACATACCGTGTCCTCGATAGCATCCTAGGTGCTGAGACTGAGAATACTGGAAAACAGCTCCTCTCTGAGAGAAGTGGTGAATTGTTCTTAGATTTAGACAGTTTGTCATCTAACTGGGAGACTAGACATGAAAAAGTCAAAAGTAACCCCAAATATTTGTTCCTACATTTGTGTCAAGTACTCTAAGAGAAGAGTTCCAGGTGCCATGTGAGGGTTTAACAGAGGACTCACCTGACCACGGAGGTCAGGGAAGTGCTTTCTTCATAGCTGCTCACTAGGCAAAGTGGGAGAAAAGCATCCCTGGCAAAGATAAAGCATGAGCCAAGGGCTTGATGTGGGAAAGAGTAACCAAAAGAAGACCAACGAATCTATCGTGATGGCACAAAATGAGGCTATAAAGGTAGAGTGTAACCAGGTTGTGCCAACCCGTTAGTCATGTTAAGAACATGGAACTTCAATGTGAAAGCATGGGAAATCCACTGAAAATTTTTAAAGAGGATAGAGACATTTGAAGACTTGTTGAAGTATCATTGTGTTTCTCGAGTGAGAAATTAATTCAATTATAACAGTAAACTTAGGAGAATCCAATGAGAGGAGGCTGCAATCACGTGGATGAGGGATGAGGAAGGAGTTTCCCTGAACTAGTTTGGCGGCAATGGAGCTAGAGATGGAAAGCCTTGAGAGTGACTTGGAGGTAGAAATGACAGGACTTGGCAATCCAATGTGGGGAGTGAAGTGGAGGGAGGTATCAAAGGTAACTTTCTGATCTCCGCAAGTCAGCTGCAGATCCTTGGACTCTAAGACCCAGATGTCCCCAAGGTCCAAGTCAGTTCCCACAGGGAAAGTTCCCATCCTCAGAACATTAAAAAAGTAAGGGGCTCCACATGGAGTGACAGAGTTCTCATTTTCCTGAGGTGGCACTAGGTTCTACACTCATGGGAAATGAGGGACTCTGATAACTACACTAGGTATCAGTCCCCGTATCAGCCTTTAGAGGGGTCTTCCTTGAGAAAATCTCCCTTCACCTGCTCAGAACAGGCACAGTTCCTCTTCTTCTCTTCAAGACCCAGAGCTCAGGAATCTTTTTTTGGAGCCCCAGTTGGACCAAACATCTGGGTGGTGTCCTCTGGATCTTAGAGGAGCCTGCTTGTCCCAGCTGACCCTGGCAGAGAGTGCTTGTTCAGTGCTGAGTGAATTCAGCCGAGTTTCTTCCTACCCTACCTATGCCTACCTTCCCTACTCCCTGATGCTCAGGTGGAAAAATTGGATGGTCTTGGAGATTCACAAACAGATATTTTGTGAATCCAAGAGAAATTATATTGCAAGGTGGTCAAACACATCACCTGTTAACTTTTGTCTCTTGTCTTCTTAACAGTTTATTCTTACAGGATATTACACAGTAACCGATACGAAGTCAAAAATTCTGGTAAGTCACTTAAACTACATAAATTTTGAAATCTTCTATTGTTTTCTATCATCTTTATGTATAAAGCCTTTAGTAAAGTTAACTGTCAGGAAAATCTGTACATGTCAAAGTTGCAGTTCAGATCATCCCTATTTGCCAGTGCCACTCTTTGCCCCACAGACATTCTTACACTGGTTCCCATTTCCCTGGTCAAGTAAACTAAAAGAGTTGTTTATGGGAAACCATTCTGTACCCCTGTAATTCACTGTTTGTAATTAGGGGTAATTCCCTGCCCTGCACTCCCAGGACCCAGAAATATTGGACAACTGCTGAAGACATTTTTGGTCATTACAATTGGTGTTATTGGCAACAAGTGAGTAGAGGCCAGGGACATTTCTAAGCATCTAAAATGCACAGGGCAGCCTCCCCACAACACAAAAATTAGACAACGAAAAATGTTTATAGTACCAAGGTTGAGAAACCTTGCTCTAACCAAACTCAATCCTAAGATCTCAGTAATTCTTCCTCCCAATCCTAGCCCTATCTCCAATACCAACCGAGGCTTTTCTTTAGAGCCTGTCCAAGGTCTGGAAAAAAGAGTTTGGGCATCGATGCTGGATTGTTCTAGGATTGAACCAAGGCTATCACTCACTTCTCTGTTAACCTGAAGGGAAAAGTACCTACTTCCAAGGGTTATTTTGAGGGTTTAATGAGACATTACTTATAAAAGGCAGGATGATGCTTAAATGTTCATACTCCTTTCTAACCACTCTGATCTCGTTTAAGGTCCTGGGGATGTGGGCCTCTCTGAAAGTCAGTTTAACTCTGTTCTTATGGTCCTCTGCCAATTTCCTCTAGGGATAGTTACAAGCCATAGAGACATTCTGAGGGGAGGGGGAATAAATGTTTCCACCCCTGCTTATGGAAACACATGCAGACAATGAGGATGAAGCCCCAAATGGTGTTCTCCCTGTATTGACTTCCTTCCAGAGCTGAGAAATAGACTATGGGTAAGGAAAACCTACTCCTGACTCACTGAGAGCTATACAGATGGAGATGGGCAGGAATGATGGGGGCAGGATGCTGATCCAGGCATCAGAAGACCTGACTTTTCATCACAGCCTTTTCACAAACCGTGAAAGTGATTGCTCACAGTCACTTACTTCCTGAAGTCCATTTATCTGTAAAATGGGGATAACAACAAATGTCCTTCCTACATCACAAAAGTATAATGAGAATCAGAAGAGAATAGGCTGGGCATGTTCTTTGTAAAGCCCAATACACATGAGGGATTGATTATCTAGAGATCTTAGTCTGTAAAATGTCCTATGGGAGCCAAAATAGAGTCTTGAGAAAACAAGGGCACTAAAGACCAAGAGAGAGATGGCCTATCTATATGTTCCTGTGCATTTTTCTGCCAAAGTGCCTATTTGCAATTAAAAACCTGGGACTGAGGTAAATATTAAGTCACAAGTACACTTTTGAGGTTTGCCACATCAAGCCACAAACTGTTCCAGAAAGGACTGGCTGTGTAAATGCATCATTGTATTTTCCACCACAGTAGTCATAAGACAATCAATGAAGGTACAGCAAATACCTGATAAATGGAAAGGGGAAGCTTTTCTTTATTTTTCCTTTAAAAGAGTGATATCAGTCCTGGGAGTGGGTAGGAAGGAAAAAATCGGATGATCCCTTTCCTTTAAAGGAACTCAGATATACATACCCCACCCACCCGCTACTCCCTCTCCCACAAAAAATAGGAATGAATAAAAGGAATTGGGTGGGGCAATGTGAAATATTCTTATTGGAACACTGAGTTCAAGAAAGAACACCTTTAAACTCCAGTCCAAATAGGTTAACATCTTTAAATGTTCATGATTCTGTTGATTATCGTTTGAATTCTCCCAGGGAATGACTGTAAACTGCGTGATTGCAGGATGTCACCTCTTTTGTTCATTTTTGTGTCTCCACCAGGGCCTAATGCAGTACTCACACGTATCTGGTGCACATTAAATATTTATGAAATAAATGAATAAATGGGTACTACCCTAAAAGGTGACACATTCACATTTTTAAAGGCAGAAATTGAGATTCCAAGAGATTCGGTTGCTTGCATAAGGTCCCAATGAAACTTGGACTTGAAATGAGGTTTCATTTCCAAGCAAATATATTTGCTAACACATTGTACTGCTTCCAGATTATGAAAGATGGTGGGGATAAAACGAGATAAAATGGGATGAAATGAACATTTTCTTTAGCATTAGCCATAGAGCATCCTTGGCCCATTCTAAAACTTGGTTTGTCTTCTGACTTTAATGAGTCAGAATTTAGTTTATTAAGCCTTCCAATCATACTGACCTGATGGAACAACTCTTCCCTGAGAAGTATCTGGAAAGATAAAAGCATTAAGAATTTCTTACAAGGTATTTTTGCTTTGGTTTTGATTTTGTTTATTTTATTATTTTTTAATTATCTTTCAGGGTCAAGGTGTCACGAGCATGAATGTTATCAGTTCCTTGGTTGCGATAACTGGGATTACTTTAATCATTTTCAGCTATAGACATCAAGACAAGTACTGCCAGACGTCTTCTGTTGAAGAAATATGTGTTTTGGGTAGAACTCTTTTCATTGTAAGTGGTCTTATTTTGCATGATGAATCTCTAAAATCTTATGTGAACTGTGTCCGTGATGTAATGATTCATTGATTTTTATTTTATTAACTGAAGTTGTGTGAGCATTTGAACTGACGGTTGAGAAGGGTACTGTGGGGTTATTGTTGCAATGATTAAGGAGCGATATTTTCTGGACTTGAATCCTGTTCGCATAAGTTTGTTACCTTGGCCTAATATTGTATTCCCTCTAAGACTTGGTTTTCCTCAAGTGGAAAATGAACATAATAAGAATGCTTACCTCATGGGTTGTTGTGAGGATTGCTTAAATTAAAACAGTACCTTGCACGGTTAAATAGTTAATAGGTTTAGCTAATACAATTATTATGGACACAGATTGAATTAAATATTACTGTTTCAGCATTAATGAACAAAATGATCTAAAAGTTTGCTCAATAACACTAAGATCAAAATACAGTGGGGGAAGGTATTTAGAAGTCATTTAATAAAGTAAGGATTTTTATAAGCTTAAGACATATATTATTTCACATAATTGTAGCAATTTTATTCATTAAAGCAGATGAGAGATCTTTTACCAGGAAATGTAATTGTCTGTACAATTTAAAGTGTTTATCTAACAAGTAATCAATGACATTATTTTTAAGCATGTCAGTGACTCCAATAGGCCTTTCTCTCTAGTTCCCTAAGCAAGTCCTGGGGTTTTATTTTATTCCTATCAGCTATATCTTGAGGCTTGGGTTCTACAATTTGAAGACTATTTGAATCTGCTGAAGGGAGATAAAGTGGAATCACAAAAAATGGTCTTCCTCAGTAAATAAGAAATGAGAAGCTAGCTCCTGAATACAAGAGTTTATTTAATCCTCACAATCACTCAGTGAGATGGTCCTAGGGACCCTCTCATGTGTTCTGAGATAAATTCTGAAATTAGGCTTATGAGAGATTACTAAAGAAAGCCAGAAAACAACATAAGCAATAAAACCCTGTTCTAAGTGGGCCAAGAACATGAGACAATATTATAATTCTTGGCCATTGCCGAATGGACAGGAGCCTACTACTGTTTGTTATGTTGGTATATACAAGGAAGAACTTGTATATACAGAAAGGGTTAAATCTCCAGATATAGGAAATTCTGCTATTTCCTACTCTCCATGGATGGATATTGCAAGATTAGTTACCTGCATACAGAACCATGAACAGTCTCTTCCTGGTTCTCACTTATATAACTTAACAATTTCTTGCTGTAACCCAAACATCATAAGCTAAAAGAGCCAAAACAGTGGGCTTTAGATGTCTCTTGGGCTGACCCCTGTCCCAAAGACCAATCTATTTTCTATACTGTGGCCAGAGTAATCATTTAAAAATATAAATCTGAGCAATTACTTAATGGCTTCCTGTAAAACATCTGATGATTAAGACCCATATCTTAAGGGCCTTACCAAACCCTGTAACACCTATCCTACCCACCTTTCTGACATTATTCCAGGACTTCATTCTTCTCACTCCACACTCCGGCCACTTCCTAGAATCCCTTAATGTGTCAAGTATCCACGGCCCCAAGATGATCATAGGATCAGCTTCTTCCTGCTTTGAAGGGTCACCAGGCCAGTTACACAATTAACTCATCCTCATACTTAAATCTCAACTGAAATATCACTTCTTTAAGTTCTTCCTGACCACACCTCTACGCTCATATCTGCCTAGACCCCCATTATAGTAGTGCATTGCTCGCAATCCTTCTTCACAGCATTTATCACAATTTAGTTAAGTAAATAATTACCTAATTACTTCTTATTGTCTGCCTCCCTTACCATGATGTAAGTTCCACAAAATCCAAGACCAGGTATATCTTGTTCAATGGAGAAAGTGAGTAAATTGCATACAATGGGGTCTTCATACATTTCAGTTTTACCAACACATATTGAATATCTAAGATTTTTGGTGTACTGCAGGGAAACCAAGATTCAGAAATACACTGGGTTCAAGCAATTCTCCTGCCTTGGCCTCTCGAGTAGCTGGGATCACAGGCATGCACCACCAGGTCCAGCTACTTTTGTATTTTTAGTAGAGACGGGGTTTCTCCATGTTTGTCAGGCTGGTCACGAACTCCCAACCTCAGTTAATCTGCCTGCCTTGGCCTCCCAAAGTGCTGGGATTACAGGCATGAGCCACCGCGCCCCGCCCGACCTTGGATCCACTTTAACCCAGGTCTTTCTGTCTTCATAGTTTAAACTTTTGAGGCACCATAAGGTACCATGTTACTTCTCAATCTAAACATTACCTTAAAGCAAAATGGGCAAAATGGCAATCTGTGGGCTACATCCAGCCTGTATGTATGTTCTATCTGGCTTTTTAGGGAAAAACAAACAAAATAGGCATTATGGTATCCATGTTCCTACAGGACAACAATTGGCTGGAATTGATGCCTCCTATGAATGCTATTACTCTCTACTGTCTCCTTGTTTAGTTCACAATGGTTGCCCAGCTCCCATGGACACTGGAGTTTGTTATCCCTGCCTTATCAGAAAGACATAAGATGAAACTTGTGCATGTCTGATGGCTACAGAACCATCCATAGTGTTCCCATACTTGGTGATACAGTGTAAGGGGTTCTCAGCTTACATATTTAAAATAACCACTCTCATTTCAAATGCCATTTATTTCTCCTCATTATTTGCAGGGAATTTTGTCAGTCTTACTGATCATCAGCATAGCAGAGCTCAGCATCTCTGTGACTATTGCATCCTTTAGAAGCAAGTGCTGGACACAGTCAGATGAGGTATGTTCTGATGTCTCTTAATATTATTAAGAGAACAGGTGCCTGTTCCTGTTGGGATACTGCACACGATGATGTCTGGTTTATTAGCAGGAAGAGCAGCAAGCTCAGATGCTGAAGTAAAACATCTAAATTTAGGAAGGTCAGAGAGGCGCAAGCTTAAGATTGAAGCTCACCCCACCCTCTGAAACAACTATGCTTTCCCTTCTTGTACTATCTGCTTTATACTCAGTCATCTTTGTTCAGACATAGCTCTTTATGTCCCTGCCAAAAATATGTAATATCAGACTTAATGGGATCCCAAGTTACTGTGACATGGGGTGTGTATTCTTGGATCATAAGATGTGTGACACAGTTCCACCACCAGAAAAGAGGTAGGGAAAAAACCTATTAATACTGATACTACATAGTATTTACAATAATTGTTATAGTTTATATTTACAGAATTCTGACTATGTCAGTCACTGTTTTAATCACTGAGCACCAACTTAATCTTAACAAAACTATAACATCCTTATTTTATATATGAAGGAAGTAAGGCACAAAGAGGCTGAATAATCTCTCCAGTATCATATAACATCAGGATTCTGACCCTCGTGGTGTGTCTCCAGAGCCTGCCTGCTAAGTCCCCAATACCAGTACAGGCCTTGTGATTCGTGGAGTTTTCATTTCTCTCTTCTTGTTTACATCAACTTTATAGAAGTATCATTTATAAACAACAAAATGTACCTATGTTGAGTTACCATCACAATCAAGGTATATAGTGCATTCCTATCATCCCAAAAGGTTCACTGAACCCCTTTGCAGTCAATGTCCTCATCACCTAGATTGGTTTTGACTTTCCAAAATTTCATACTCATGGAATCATAAGTAAGTACTCTCTGTATATGGCTTCTATGGCTTCTTCCACACAGAAGTATGTTTTTGAGAGTCATCCATGGTGTTGCCTCTATCAAGAATCCATTCCCTTTATGTATGGGTACATCACAATTTGTTTATCAATTTACCTTTTTTTTTTTTGAGTCGAGACCTCACTCTATCACCCAGGCTGGAATGCAGTGGCACTATCTCGGCTCACTGCAGCCTCAATCTCCTGGACTCAAGCAACACTTCCACCTCAGCCTCCCAAATAGCTGGGACTGCAAGCATGCGCCACCACCCCCAGCTAAATTTTTTTTTTTGTATTTTTTTGTAGAAATAGGGTTTTGTCATGTTGCCCAGGCTGGTCTCAAACTCCTTGGCTCAAGTGATACACCCACCATGACCTTCCAAAGTTCCGGGATTACAGGTGTGTGGCACTGCTCCCGGTCCATTTACCTTTTGATGGGTATTTAGATTGTTTAAAGTTCTGAACTATTATCAATAAGTTACTGAGAATATTTGAGTTCATATGTTTATGTGGACATATTTTTGTTTCTCCTGGAGTGTTGCATCTAGGATTTGATTGTGAGATCGTATGGTAACCAGATGTTTCACTTTATAAGAAAATATCCAACAGTTTGTCAAAGTGGCTATATTGCTTTCCATTCTCATCAACAATGTGTGGGAGGGACAGTTGCTCCACGTCATCATGAACACTTGAAACTGTCAGTTTTATCAATAATTTAGCTATTTTAGTGCGTATGTAGTGGCACCTCATTGTAGTTTTAATTTACATTTCCCTGATGACTAATGATGATGAGACTCTTGCTATATGTTTATTATCCATTTGTGTATCCTCTTTTGAGATGTATGTTCAAATATTTAGCTGTATTTTATTGGAATATCATCATCTTATTGGCCTTATAGCAGCCTAATTAATTCTTAATACAAATCCCTTACAAATATTTGTTTCACTCTGTGATTTGCCTTTTCATTTCAATAGCTTCTTTCAAAAAACTAAATTTGATGAAGTTCCATTTATCATTTTTGCTTTTATGGTTATGGTTTTTTTGTGTGTTGTTTAACAAAGTTTTCCCTACCCCCAAGTCATGAAGGTTTTCTTCTCTCTTTTCCTACAGAAGTTTTATCATTTCAGATTTTCTGTTTACATGTATGGTCCATTTTAACTTAACTTTTGCATACAGTTGTAGGGTAAGGTTAGAAGTTAATGCACATCCCCCCTCATGGAGATATCCAGTTGTTATAACGCCATTTGTTGAAAATGCAATGCTTTCCTCCAGCACTGTGGTATTTTTGTTGAAAATCAATTTACTTATTACTTATTTTAGGTCTCTTCTGGATACTTGATTTTGTTCCTCTGGCCAATATGTCTATCCTTGCACGTATTCTACACTCTCTTAATTTCTGTACCTTTAGAGTAATTCTTCTGCATTGTGGTGAAATATATATGACATAATATTTATCATTTTAGCCATTTGTTCAAATCATTGAATACATTATTAATGTTGTGTAACTCTCACCACTATCTATGCCCAAAATTTTTTCATCATCCCCAACACAAACTCTGTACCACGAAACAATCACTCCCTGATTCTCCTCCCAATTGCCCCTGGTATCCTCTATCCTACTTTCTATATTATGGATTTGCCTTTTCTAGAGACCTCATATAAGTGGAATCTTACAATATTTTTCCTTCTCTAACTGGCTTATTTGAATAAGCATAATATTTTCAAGATTAATCCATGTTGTAGCATACATCAAAATTTCATTCCTTCTATGACTAAATAAAATTCCATTTTGTGTATATACCACATTTTGCTTAGCCATTAATTTGTTAATGGACACAGAAATTCCTGCCTTTTGCATATTGTGAATAACGCCGTTATGAACATAGGTGTAAAAATATCTCCTCAAGTCCCTGTTTTCAATTCTTAGGATACATATTTAAGAGTGAAATTGCTGGGTCATATGGAAGTTCTATGTTTAACGTTTTGAGAAAATGCCAAACTGTTTTTCACATTGGTTGCACCATCTTACATTTCCACCAGTAGGGTACAAGGATTCTAATTTCTCCACATCTCCATCAATACCAACCAACAGGGGAAAAAGGAGAGCAATTATTTTCAATTTTCAATTTATGATTGACACATGGTAATTGTACTATATATAGGGTGCAGTGCGATGCTTCAATGCATGTTACATTTTCTAACGATCAAATTATGGTAATTACCACATTCATCACTTTAAACATTGATCATTTCTTTGTAGTGACAACATTCAAAATTTTCTCTTCTAGCCTCCTGGAAATATACACTACATTGTTACTTGCTATAGTCACGCTACTATGTATAGAACTTATTCTTACTATCTATAGTAAGTGGGAACTTATTCTTCCTGTTTATAATTTTATACCCATTGACCAATCTTTCCTGGTCCTCCCAACCTCCCTACCTTCCCTAGCCTCTGCTAACCACTATTCTAGTCTTCACTTCTATGAAATCAACTTTTTTAGATTCCAAATCTGAGTGAGATCATGCAGTGTTTGTCTTTCTCAGCTTGGCTTATTTCACTTAATATAATGTCCTCCAGGTTAATTCATGTTGCCACAAATGGCAGACTTACATTCTGGTTTATGGCTGAATAGTATTCCACTGTTTGTGTGTGTGTATACATTATATATGTAATATATAATGTATGTATAATATACATATATTACATTTTCTTTATTCATTTATCTGTAGATAAGCATTTAGGTGGATTCCTTATCTTGGCTCTTGTGAATAGCACTGCAATAAATATGGGAGCACTGATGTTTCTCCAACTGTCTTCATTTCCTTTGAATATATACCCTGTAATGGGATTGCTGGATCATATTTGTTTTTATCACGGCCATCTTTCTTTTCTTTTCTTTCTCTTTCTTTTTTCCCTC